GCCCACGTGGGTATGTCTCCTCCTCTTGGGCCTATGGGTGCATAGCTGGGCCTGCTGCATGTGGCCCTGAGAGGGCGTTGGGCCTAATCCCAACAGAAGGGATATTTCAGCCTATTATACATAGGTTGGTATTATTTTGATGAACCGCCTATTGAAGTAGCACAAAGAATAATAGAGAAAATTAAGTGTTAATAGTTCCTACGTCTTTAGATTAATTCTTTAGTATAAAAAAATAAATAATGATAATTGAAACTAAAATTTAAAATCAATGACATGATTTATATAATGTTATTTAAAATATTAAAATGTGAATTTTATATTATTTAATAATTAAATTTTTTAGACTTATAAAATTATATATATATCAATTAATTTAATAATATGACTTATATCACAATATTAGTTTTAAATTTTTATCTTAAAATTTTCATCCTTCCTATAATTACATAAAAAAATTGATGTATTAAAATATTTAAATTATAAATAATAACAATCAACAAATCTAATTTTGCCATTTCTTCTCAATTATATTTAAAACAAAATAAAATAATAGTTGGACTACAGACAAACAAGTCCACTGCAGCACTCTGATAATTCCTCTAATACTTCTTTTTTAAGACAGTTTGCAATTTTGGGTGATTGGAGAATGGGATTTTTAAAGACGTCAGTCAATTTTGAAATCTTGATTAATCAATTCAAACGCCTTAAAATTTAGAGGTGAACCATTTAAATCTAAAATTTTGGATCACAATTCCTCTAGCACTTGTTTAGATTACTTTCCAAACTTTTGGTTTTTTCTAGATTTTTTTTGTTTTTCTGCGCCGAATGCCAGATACCTATCCATTCCTTCTGGCATGGATGAATCCTTTCCATCTGGTTTCGTTACATTTTGGAATGATTACAAACATGAAATTATAATTTTGCTAGTTGCTTGATGTTACACTGAAGAAAAATTTTATGTGACCAAGTATTGATTCTAAGTTTTTTTTATTTCATTTTCTTTTTAAAATTTTGAAAGATCAAAGCCAAATATACCATGTTAATTTCGGTTCACTTGACAATTGACATTAAACAAGTGTAGTGAATGTCAATTTACATGCTTAACCAGAATTAAAAGAGTTAACAAGAATTAATTTATTGTCAATAATCATTATTAACAAATCATTTTTTCACTTTTTGCTCGAACTTTTTGCACCTTAGGCCACTACCCCTTTACAAAAAAAAAAGTTTTAATTAATACTTTTTTTTATTTTAAAATAATCATCATTTTTT